GTTGTTAGCATAGCGAGATGTCTTGCATCTGAGCGACCGATATCTTCTGCCCGAGGGAAGAAGCTGGAAGATGGCTTTACCAGGGTGGCAAGAGGAGTCATTGATGATTTTAGGAGCTCGGTTTAAAAGTCTGGATTTATAAAGAACCTCCAGAACAGGAAGCTCACAGCCCACGGTCCTCTTAGCAGAGCGGAGCACCTTGTTTAAAGCTCTCTTTTCTTTATCTGTGATGTTTCCAAACCACACAGACACAGAACCAACAAGTAAACTCTCAATGGTGCAGTGATAAAAATTAAGCAGAATCTTAGAGTTATTGGAAAATTCTCTAAGTTTCCGTAAAAAGAAGAGACGCTGAAGAGCTTTCTTAACGACTCGGTCAGTGTTTTTAACCCATTTCAGGTCGTTAGACAGAGTTAAACCCAGGAACTTGCACTCCTCTACGATCTGCACCTGGGAGTTGTCAATAACAACAGGAGTGTGAGAACTGTTACGACTGAAGTCAAAGACAAGTTCACATGTTTTTGCAGTGTTCAGCTGGAGATTGTTTACTTTACTCCACTGATAAACATGTTCGATCTCTGCTCATCATTATCACTGATGAGACCGATGATGGTGGTGTCATCAGCGTAATTGATGATCAAGTTCGAGTCAGAGGAGGACACACAATCGTTAGTGTACAAGGTAAAGAGCAGAGGACTCAAAATACATCCCTGAGGAGAACCAGTGCTCACAGAAACAACGTCAGAAAGACAGTCATTGATTTTTACTCTCTGAGATCTGTCAGTTAAAAAGCTAAAAATCCACTTACACATGGCAACATTCAGACGAAGGGACATTAGTTTTTCAACCAATTTGCTTGGGACAAGACAATTAAAAGCAGAGCAATAGTCAATGAAAAGCATTCTCAGATTTACTATTGTCCAAGTGACTGTAGACAGAGTTCAGGGCGAAGGAGATGGCATCCTCCACACTCCTGTTCTGTCTGTAGCAAACTGGACAACACTCACAGGGATCTTGCTCTTTATGAAGTCCAGCACAAGCCGCTCAAAGGTCTTCATAAGAACAGACGTGAGGGCCACAGGGCGGTAGCCATTGAGACATGTCACTGGAGACTTCTTACTGTAGGAACTGGAATAATGGACTTTTTAAAGCTCAGCGGCACCGTACAATTCCTGAGTGACAAGTTAAAGATTAAACAGGGGCAAGTTGCTCGGAGCACAGTTTTAGGACACGGGGAGAAATGCAGTCCGGTCCTGCGGCTTTCTGATCTGTGGTCCTGGACAAGACCCGCCGGACTTCCTCCTGAGTCACTGTGAAGGCACCCTGACATTGGGGGAAGACAACAGGCAGGGGATCAATAGATTCAAAGCGGCAGTAAAAGTTGTTGAGCAGAGCTTGGCCAGCAGCAATTTTCCCTGCACTTGGTTTCCAGGACGTGATGAGACTAATACCCTTCCACATGCGCCGAGGGTCCTCTTCCTCAAAGAAGCCCTCTAACCTGTCCCCATAGGAACGCTTAGCAGCTTTTATAGAGCGTTCCACAGCATAACAGGACAGCTTATAAGCACCCTCATCACTGGATTGAAACGCCAGTGTCTGCTCATGAATTTTCAATTTGACGTCAGTGTTCATCCAAGGATTTTGGCTGAAGTGCTCTTTAATAACTTTATAAGGGACATAACAGTCAATGCAAAAGTGTATGTATCCTGTCACAGCCTCGCAGAATTCATTCACATTATCAGAGTTAAAAACAGACCAGTCGGTAGCATCAAAGCAGCTTCATATTTGCCTCCTCTGACCAGTATTCACTGCACAGTGCAGGAAGTAGGTTTGTGCTGTTTGCTCCTCTGTGTGTAAGAAGGAAGAAGGAGAACAGAGCTAGGAGTGGGCAGACTTCCCAAAAGCAGGTCTGAGACTGGACCTGTTAGCTGCCTTCACGTTGCTATAACAGTGATCCTGGATGTGCGCTCCCCTGGTAGGCTGACTCACATTATGCTGATGAAAGTTTGGTAATACTGACTCTAAGTTACATTTATTAAAATCACCACCAACTATGATCACAGCATTGGGGTGAGCAGCCTCATGTATATGCAAAATGTCACTTACTGTAAGTCATTTAGTGCAACTGTAAAATCAGCCCGAGGGTGAATATTTACAGCACATAAAAAAATCACTGAGAATTCTCGGGGAAGATCGAAGGGGCGGCATCTCAAAACCAGACATTCCAGGTAGCAGAGCATGTTTTGTTAACAATATAACTGTCCATGCACCAGCGCTGGTTAATTAAAGGACACACACCTCCGCCTCTGGATTTCCCCGTGCTCTCCTTCTCTCTGTTCGAGCGGAAAATGGCAAATCCCGGCGGCTGAACAGCTGAGTCCGGGATATTCAAATGTAGCCACGTCTCGCTGAGGCAGTACACGGCGCAGGCCCGGGCCCCGCGCTGTCACTGGATACGGCTCAGGAGATCATCAGACTTGTTCGGGAGAGACTGAACGTTTGCAACGTAAATGGGCGGCAGTGGGACCCTGGGGGAGCGACTCCACACGAGAAGCCCGCCTCGCTTTCCCCAGTTTCTGCGCTTCCTCTGTCGGCGGGAGACACCCGGCTCCGCACGGCGGTGAACACGGGGGAGGTGCCCAGACTCATCGCCATGTTCCCGGTCTCAGTGTTGCCAACTTAGCGACTTTGTCGCTAGATTTAGCGACTTTTCAGACCCCTATAGCAACTTTTTTTCAAAAAAGCGACTAGCGACAAATCTAGCGACTTTTTCTGGTGTTATTGGCGACTTATCTGGTGTTTTGGCGACTTATCTGGTGTTTTGGACACTCGTGAAGCACGTATTGTTCTGCTGTCCTCAACGTGAGCCCCTCCCCCGTCCCAAAGCACTTACAGGCGGCCAGTCTCACAGTAGCCTTGCGCAGCAGTCCCAGCTACAGTCTATGGGCGGAGCAGAGAGAGAGAGAGGAGACTCAAAAGCACAGGGACCCCCCACTCCATCCGCGGCAGCTCTGTCCGTGACTCTGTTTTCTCTCAGTAGTGGGTCACATTAAATCATTTGTTATGCCAAACTATGAAAAAAAAAAAAACTTACAAAAATAAACCTAAGTAACTCTGCCAGAGTGTGTCTTTTGGGTCACTTTGCCGGTCCCAAGCCCGGATAAAGGAGGAGGGTTGGTTGTAGAGCTAGCAATTTCACCCTACATAACAATCTTTTGATTACATTTGCTGTTATAACATTTAACAATACAGGACAAAACTGATGTGTGTAATGTGGATCTAGACAAAGCATTAAAATCATTAAATGTTGTTAATGTTGAAATTATTTTTGTACATTTGTAGTTCTAAACATATTTAGGGTGTTTTTACTCACTTTTGTCTCTCCCACGACCTTATTCCTCTCTCCTACAGCGTCCGTTACAGTTATTTGCAAATGGCAAATTATGCAAATTAGGCGATGACGTCATTTAGCGACTTCTAGCGACTTTTGGGACAGCCAATAGCTACTTTCCTTACTGAGGAGTTGGCAACACTGCCCGGTCTCTGTCGCGGGCCGCACGCCTCTGTCCCCGAGCTGGGCACTCGTCAAAGCCGTCACACCTCAGAGCAGGAAACACTGGCTCACAAGCTAAGTCCCGGATGTCCAGGAGAGTCGGTCGTAGACCACAGCGGCAAGTGTTTTGTAAAAGGATAGAAACAGCACATAAATCACGGTGCAGTGTGAATAAAGGAGACGCGTGAAGGAATGAGGGAGCTTTAACAAGAGACAAGAACGGGAATGGATTTAAGCTAAAACCACAATGACCAGAGGAATCAGGACTAGGACAGTGCTGCGATTGGGTGCCAGTCCGTGCAATTATTGTCTAGCGTTAAACCCTTGTATAATAAGTACATAATACAACAACATGTGGAGGATGGTAACCAAAAACCCATGAGGACCTTTAAGCTGGAAGACCGAACTTAGTGTTTCATAGATAACAGCTGCTGTTTGTCTCAGCAGAAAGAGTCTTGCCAACTTTAAACGTTGTGAACAAATCAGACCACAATATTCCCTTTTCCTTTTACTAAAAAACATGTTATTTATTGTGCACAAAAATATTCACTATATTTGACTCTTTTCTGTCTGAGGAAGTTGATATAAAGATGAATGTGAGAACAAGAATGCATACAGTACATACTAATATATACTATTAATAATATTAGAAGTGCGTTGACTCGTCTCTTTCATGATATAACATTATTTTCTTTTCATATCTACATCTCAGGTACAACATATACAATAAGTAAGTAAGTAATATTTATTTATATAGCGCATTTTACAGACCAAGGTCACCCAAAGCGCTTTACAATGTTCAGAGTTCAGATATTGTTCCAATCATTCCACACACGGTGATGACGGAAGCGAGTCGCCGAACACACTGGCACATCAGCCCCCAATCAACACCATCCATTCACTCTTATTTACTCACTCATTTACATTCATACCTATTGTGCATGTTATCAGTGGTCGGGGAAACCGGAGCACCCGGAGGAAACCTACGCAGACACGGGGAGAACATGCAAACTCCACTCAGAAAGGCCCTGTTCCGACCGGGATTCGAACAGTATTACTATGATGCACAAGAATTAATTTTATTTTAGCAAATGGTTGTTGTTCACTTGTCTTGTGTTGTGTGCTCCTCATTCTGTAACCGGTGATGCAACACTGACATTTCCCCACTGTGGGACATCTTCATCTTTATCCACATATCTGACAGAGGCATGACATACTGTCTTAGGAGACTCCATGGCCTCGCACCAAAGTACTGTACTTCTGACACATGTTATTGCCATATGAACCAACTGCACACAGGGACTGGCCTCCTGCTGTGCCCTTTTTAAAATATTGTTAAATTATTTATGATTTTAATGCCTTCTTTGATTCTTTCCATCTTGTTTTTTTGCCTTGTGTATGAACTGTGCTTTACAAACTTGCCTTGACTTAAAAAGGCAAATGTTACCTGTGGTTCTGGCGCATGAGCACGGCGCGGTGCAGCTGCCTCTGGACGCGGGCGTGTGGCGGTCCGCAGGCGTGCACGAACGGATGAACCGCCACCAGCACGAAGCCCTCAGAGTACAGCTCCCTCACCTGCACCGGCAGCTCCCTCACCGAGGACAGGCTGAGCACGGAGGACACGGACACATCTGCAACAACACACACACACACACACACACAGTGGGTAAGACACTTTTTCAGTTTGTGTATTTATTCTTTCACCATGTGTTGGTATATTTACAATTTCGCTAAGTGCACTGAAAAAGGTGGTCAAAATCAGCCCAAAATTGCTCAAATTTGGCAAAATGTATCTTAATTTGAGCCCATGTTGGCTGCCGTAAAACAAGATTTGCCAATGGGACAAGCAACATTATCTTGTTTTAAAAAGATACACAAAATGTCTCCCTTGGAATGAGAAAATAAAGCCACATTTGTTTAAAATCAGACAAAATGGCTTTGTCCCATCTGCAAATCAGTCAGAATGAACTCAGATTAAGACAAAAAACACTCAAAGCAAGCAATTATTACCTTTTATTTGATCATTTTTTGCACAACAGCAGACCACTCCATGCCTCTGAGTCTGATCCATTCTACTGCTGTCACCACAATCTGGAACTGCTTAAGCCTTCGCACTCTGCATGAATTTGAAAACAATTACTAAACATTATTGGTATTAAATGAGCATATGTTGTGTTTGTGTTAATCTCGGCTTTAAGACTCTCTGGTTCGAACATCACTTCTCTGCCAGGTTATGGTCTCTCACAAAGTCAGTGCGCTTTGTGAGACTAAGCGTTTTTTGCTCAAACTTTTCTGGCTTTTTGCTCACTCTTTTTGTTTTCCGTTCAGATCCAAGCCTCGCCTGCCAACTTCCCTGTCTCCACAGTTTGTTGTTCTTCAGTTTTTAGTGTGAACGAAATCACCTTTTTGATTGTGAATCCCACAACGCCTCACTGCTTTACATCATGTTATACTGTAGAACTTGAAATAATGTCTGGGTTTGACAAGTTATGAGACTTAAGGTAAACGGGTACTTTATTTATCCCCGTAGGGCAATTCATCCTCTGCATTTGACCCATCCTGATGCCACTAGGGCGTCTTTCAGGAGCAGTGGTCGCCGTAGTAACAGTGCCCGGGAACCCATCTCCAGATGTTGATGCTCGGCTTGGCCAGGAACAGAGCTGGAGGATTTACCTACTGTACATGTTTTTAGTAGTAGGGGAAACCGGAGCTCAGTTGGTAGAGCATTGGCCATTGGAGATCGTGGGTTCAATTCCCCCACAAAACCTTCTCCAAATACTCCCACTGATGTCTGCTGTCCTTATGTCCTTGAGCAAGACTCTTAAGCCCACTTTTTAACATGTTGCACATTAGTTGTCTCTTTTGCACACCGTGATGGATCCTATTGAGGCCAGATGTAACATTTACTGTACATTTATCCATTGTGAGATCAATAAAGTTTTATCTTTGAATGTAAAAATGAATGATTTCAGCCACATGATTATTTGCATCTCCAGTCTGGGGCACAAACTTAGTCTGTCTAGAACCTGTTTACCGTGCTACAGCTATATACAGTAGATCTTACACTAGAATATGTGTAGACTATTTTATTCTTGCTAAACTAAACACTGTAACCGGTGATGCAACACTGAAATTTCACCACTGCGGAAAGAATAATGGATCTCTTCACCTCTTAATCTGAATCAACCCCCAATGCAAGCAGGCGCAAGATGATGCACCGTGTTGAACTAAGCATGCAGCTGTGATTAACTCAAAGCGGAGGCTCATTTGGAGACGACAGATTAGTTTAATAAAAAGACAAATATATCCTCTACAGCTCTGTATCTGACTGAACAGATTCCACACAGAGCGTTTTGTGTAGGTGATCTGGTGGTCGGGAGATGAAGCCTCTGAGACCGTACTTTGTGAGAGGAGTCTGAGAGCTCATGTAAAGTCTTCTAAAGGAGAGGATCTACGGGGCGTAAGCTGACAACACTCAGAAGCACCAGTATTATGTGTCAAACTCTGCAAAACCACCATCCCACTTTCAACACGTCGCCATGGAAACCCAAACACAGCCCTGCCGCCACAATGCACAAATTCAGAATGCAGTCATCTCAGGATATGAGGAGGTATCAATCCATTCTTCGCCCATAGTCTGGGTGCCATTCTTCCCACACTCCATCTTTAATTATATGTACCATAATAGTGCAAAAAATAAGTGATAAACCGTACTTAATTATCTATAAGGGCTTGCTCCGAGATGAATCCTCCTCCTTTTTCGAGGGTACCAAAAGGTTATAAAACAAAAGTTACATACACACTCACGGAAACAGAACAGACAAGACAATATCTGCATACGGTACAAAAAAACTTAAGTGACAAAGACAAAAAACAAAGACACGCTTCAAAAAGTGATAGAAAATAAGTAAAAAATTGCTCAAATCTGACTAAATCTATCTTAATTTGACACATTTTGACAGCCTTAAAACAAGATTTGTCAACGGGACGAGCAAAATGATCTTGTTGTTTAAAAAGATACAAGAAATGTCTCCTTCTTGTTCGTGAAATCAGACTAAATGGGTTTGTCCCATTGGCAAATCTTGTTTTAAGACAGTAAAACTACTCAATTCAAGCAATTCCCCACCTATGACCTATTATTTAATTATTTATTTCAGTGCATTCATTATAGCTTGCGTCTTGAGTGAATGAATCATCTTTTATTTTCCTTAGCACGTGCTCTGTCAAACAGTTATAAAACAAAAGTTACATACACAGACAAGACAAAAAGCTCTCTCCGTGCCCATCTCAAACCCTTGTCCCTATCAGTCCCTACCTAACGTTGGATAATGTTATTGCTTTGATTCCTGCTGTCTAATGGTGTGTGGTTTTAACAAATGGAAGTGAGGAAATAGATGTTATTGGAGCTGGGAGATTGTTCCAATCCTCAAAGCTCTATAGAAAAAAGCATATCTCCCAATCTCTGTATTCATTCTGTCTTACTGCATATGAGGAGGTAGGTCTCACCAGATATTCTTGGAGATGGGGGGGGGCGCATTGAATAAAATCATTGATATACTGTATTTAAAGACAAAAATGTACCAATGGTATAGTCCCTTAGCCCAACAGTGGATATTCCCATTGAAATATCTGTTTATGTACATTTGTTAATTTAAATGAAATTTAATAAAATACATTTTTTCTGACAAAAATTTGGATTTGATTGCAATAGAATTAGCAAAAAGAGACGCAGAGTCACATCTCTGAATGCGCAGCAGCGAGGTGTGCCTAATGAAGAGGCCCCTGAGTGTAAATGACAAGTTAACAACTGCTGTGATTGTGTCTCTCACATCTTTGTCCAGGTTTTACTTCAAATTAGATCTGAATAAAAATACTAGGGATTGATAATCACAGGAATCACAAATATCATGAGGTAAAAGTGTAACAGTGATGTTTTGGAAGATTACAGAATACTACAGTTTCAACGATTGTGTCATGTTTCTGAAAAAACAAAGACAAAGTCATATAAAACTTTGAAGTGAAAGAAAAATAGGATTTTGTTATTTTCAAAAATGTAAATGTGACTGAACGTTTTGCACATTTGTCTTTACAAAACAACTCCAGCTCGGTCAGATTGGATGGAGAGCGTTTGTGAACACACATTCAGATCACACAGTGATGACGAACACACTGGGGCATCAAAGCCTCCAATCACCCGTCATTACATTCATACCTATCACATGTTTTTAGTCGTAGGGGAAACTGGAGCACCCGGAGGAAACCTACACAGTCACAGGCAGAACATGCAAAATCAACATAGAAAGGCCTGGAGGTAGAATTGAACCCAGGGCCTTCTTGCTGAGAATCATAATCTCTACACCGCTGTGACCGCCATGTTAGATCTGTCCCTGTTTTGCTTCTTACGGCTTTATTTTATCACTTTCTACTCACCGCTGGTTCATAAAGGCTAGATGTGTGTAGAGTATGACATGTGCACATGGTGGCCAGAGCTTTGTGAGATGCTTCAAACCCCATCCTTGAGCTCTCTGTGTGCTCCTTTAGACTTCATGATGCTGTTTAGTGACCAATACCCTCCACTCTAAACATCAGCAGCAGATGCAAAGACCATAGTTTAACACCAGAACTCCCAGAGCAGTCACAGTGACAGCGTTTAGTTTTGTAAGTGTAGTTACTCAGCTTATGTACATTTCTGGTCTTCCAAACTTTGTGACTTTTACTCTTTCTACATGTTATTCATTTCTACGTCATTAGAATATCATGGGTTAGTTACCATAGCAACACACTGTTTACCGAGCAGTTAGCATTTGGCCTTTCGATTAACTTTTTTCTGTATTTCTAGTTATATTAAGCGGTTTTAGCACTTAGAAAAAGGTTAAAAAAACAACAAATTAATCTGGTGAAAAAATAAATTAATCATGAATGGTTACAGCATTCAAAATGAGGTCTCTTAAGAGTTCAAGTACTTTCAGAATTTTGGGAGTCTTTGCGTTAATTCCTAAAAGTAATTTGGAGGCAAAACTTGTGTAAAAAGTCAGAAAATGCAGGATGCCATAGTGTGAGGATACGTAAAATAGTGTTTGAAAACAAGGGCATCACAACAGAAGGGGAGGGGGGACCGTGTTTGTGCCAGATGTTCCTGATATCAGCATGGATGGAGCACAGCCACTGGTCTGCTGTTGATGAGGAATAATGTGTCATTTGCTCATACCTAAAAGAACACCTACAGATTGCGATTCGCTCCCGGGAGATTTCCTGTTTATAATCGAACAATGGCAGAAAGACGAGAGACGAGCAAACGCCAGGCTGCAGAATGGGAAGCTGTCTGTCGCCCTGAATGCTTGTCATCCATTCATTCAATCTCATTTGCATGGGTCTGGAGAGGAGAAAATAAGCTGCATAAATTAACTCCACACACACACACTCTCTCGCTCTCACACACACACGAGCGCACTCACACAAAACAGCGCATCCCATCTCATTTTCAATTTGTCCTCCATCATCCGCGAGCCGTGCGCAGGGAAAGGAAAAAAAAACTCAGGCCTGGTCAAGCTACAAGAGGCTAAAGGACATTTCCCATCTCCCAGTCACAGACATTCAGATTCATAGCGGCTCAAACTAATGCCGTTTCAATTCAGAATGCATAACTTGTGTCGTGCTCAGATGAGAATAGAAAAAAACAGGTCCAGGGTGATGTGCCTGTCTCCTCTGATTGGGTATTATCCACAGCCAAAACAATTTCTGACCCAGACAGCGTGAAATCGAGCCTTATTACAGCCGTCAACGTTTATATAAGAAGCGTCGGGATGAGATTGTGTTGTGTCCAGTGTGTTAGCGAGGCAGAGGGCCACGTAAATTCACAGAGTGGACCGCATTTGGCCCGAGGACCTTAGTTTGGACATATTTTTTGACGCTCAAAGACACTTCACATGTCAATATTCTTTCACTCCAAACAGTGGTGATGAACTGCTACTGTAGCCACCGCTGCCCTGGGACACACTGACAGAAGTGAGGCGACCAGAATGTGCCAATGGTCCCTCCCACCACCAACTGTTCACACACATGTGGGTGAGGTGTTTGCCAAAGGACACAATGATTGAATGAATTGTTTTTTCTAAATTGTGAAACCAGGAAGAGTGTGAGCACTTTTCTGCTCTACACAATCAAAGCCAAAGGGTTCCAAAGAAGTCGTTTCTCCGCTTCATTCAAACAGAATCAAACTCTCCTTGTTCTAAGTGAGTAAGTCATCTTTACTTATATAGCTCCTTTCACAGACAAGAGTCACAAAGTTTTGTACATGTTTTTTTGTGATAGGGGAAACCAGGGCACCCAGAGTAAACCTTTGCAGACGCGGAGAAGTGCTAACCACTGTGCCACAGTGCTGCCCATGCACTTTTTTAAATAAAATGGGTCAAAAAAAGAGTCATTTTGTCGCTGAAACCTTGAAGAACAAATATTGCACATATTTTTGAGTCATGCATTCTGTGCTTAAAACTTTACAATATTGACTTTGGCTTTTCATGTTTCAGAAGTAGAAATAGAAAAAGCAAAACTCATCAAAGTTGTTATCAGTTTGAATAGAGCACTTTAATGTTTTTGCACTTGTATAGATCTGTTTTAGTTGGTCAACTTCACAGTGACATTTGTTTACTGTTTTTAAAATGTGTTTTATTTTTGTCTTTTAATGTTGTTTTATGTCTGTACTTGTCCTGTGCACACTGGGAACTTTTACTAATGTATTCCAATGTAGTGTTACTGCAAATGGCGAATAAAATGAATCTGAATCTGAATCAAAGTGGAAGAAGACTTGTATAAGAAACATAAAACATTAGCAGTTCAACTTTTTAACGTTTGTTTTAACAAAGCAGAAAACAGCTTTGTCCATGACATATTCTCTCCCTTCTACTTTATCTGTTTTCATTAGGATTTCAGCTGTAGTGTGTTCATTGCTATTTACCTGGCATTTACAGGTGGGTCTAAGGACAGTGGTAATAATCCAGGACACTCAATATTCAACCACATTTATGGACATTGGTCGCTGCAGTTTATGGGCCAATGGCTCTAAGTTTATTTTATCATTACATTTTCTCTGTTTGAACTGTTTGATTCTCTGATCTGCGTTGGCAAATCGAGAGCTTTGTAAAGTCCTCCAAGATAACTACTGTTGTGATTTTGGGCTGGACAAGAATACGTTTAATTGAATTGACTTTATGCTCAAAGGCAGCACTTACCAACATGGGTGTTTGCACAGTGTAACAGGTTCGAAACAGAGCTTTTAGACAGAAGGGGTGGGGAGGGCGGTGTGTTTGTGCCTGAAGTTATTGATAAAACCATGGGCGGAGCTAAAGGTATCTTGAATATCAGTATGTAAATAGTCTGTCGGGCTAAATATCACTGGAGATTACTCTTTCAAAGCAGATTTCGAGCAGCATCAATAATGTAGAGCAGGCTCAAGCGCATGGATCAGAGACGCAGGACTTCACTTGGACGTTTGCTTCTACAAATATTCTCGGTTTAGAAATTAATCAAAGGCAAATAACTTTTAAATTATTTCCTTATGGTCCTACAGAAAGAATCAAGATCTCCACAGTGACAGCCTTCAACAATCAGAACGATATAAGACGTGGAAAATAACAAAACTTCAAAACAATTCTATTTTTGTATAAGCCCTAAATCACAGCAGCGGTCGTCTCGGAGGACTTTACGAAGTTGACGATTCACCCCCACCAGATCAGAGAATCAAACAGTTCGAGCAAAGGAAATGCAATAATAACAAACACAAAGAAGTCAATCAATCAATCAATCAACGTTTATTTATAGAGCGCCTTTCCTACACAAGGCAACGCAAAGCGCCTCACAACCCATATAACATCATGCATAAATCATCAAACATTAGAATTTAAGTAAACATAAAAAGACAGATTAAGAGCACAAGATATATAAAATCACACAAGTAGTTAAAAACCGTAAAACATTAAAATCACACAAGGGATTACAATCATAAATAATCATAAATAATCATAGCGCATTAAAAAGATTAAAGATAAAAACAAATATAAAATCATTCACTTGTATGCACAGCTAAAAAGAACTGTTTTCAGTTCAGTTTTAAAAACTGCTAGAGTAGACGCCTGTCTCACACTCTCGGGAAGACGGTTCCAGACTCTAGCTGCATGAATCTGAAACGCAGCCTCCCCATGTCTAGTTCCGACTCTTGGCACTAACAGAAGTCCAGTCCCTGTGCTCCTCAGAGCCCGAGTTGGTTCATATGGCACCAACATGTCGCGGATGTACCCTGGTGCGAGGCCATGGAGAGACTTGTACACAAGTAAAGCTACTTTAAAATCTATTCTCTGAGCCACAGGAAGCCAGTGCAGAGACCTGAGGACCGGACTAATGTGGTCGTACTTCCTGGTTCTAGTCAGGACTCGAGCTGCAGCATTTTGGATGTACTGCAGCTGTTTTACCGCTTGTTTAGAGAGACCTGTGAACAAGCCATTGCAGTAGTCCAATCGACTGGAGACAAATGCGTGGATAAGAATCTCCAAGTCTGCTTTAGACACAATGTTCCTAATTTTAGCAATGTTTCTTAGGTGGAAGTAAGCTGATGATGTCACAGATGAT